ACTGTCCTCACTAAGCAGGTTACAGAGGGGAGAGAAACCTCTCCCAGTCACCTTCTGTCCAGTGTCTTTGCTGGCAACTACAGTAAATCCTGCAGCCACCTTGGGTGTAATTACCATGCAAAGGTTAGTTTTTATGGCCCTCTCCATAAAATGATTGTAAAACACTGTTTGACTGTCTCTTTAAGACTCTGGCAAGTGTTTTGGCATACTTAGGTTCTACCCTGTTCTTCTAAGTGTTGCTTATTGCTATGGCAACGCTAATCAATCATCGTGCTAAAAATAGGCCTTTCATTTTTCAAGAGGTTATCTGTAGTGAATTGAAAATGCAACTGCAGTCTGTGTTTTCCATATGCTGCCTTCATTTCACTTTATTTAAACCTGGAAGTAGCTGTGCTCACATGTGGCAATTACTATTGCAGACTGGTTATTGCACAGATTGCTTTCTTGAGCCTTAAATCTCTCCTGGTTCTTCCAAAAGGGATAGCAAATATAGAAAGTTACAGAACACAAACAAAAAAAAACACATTCTCCTTATTTTGTTTTTGAGTGCCATAGATATACTGGATTCTAACAATTTTTTTAACTAGTTTATACTACATCTAAAAAATCTGGAGGTGACAATACAAAAGACCCCTTGTTTGAGAGCTTTACACAAAGAAACCTTATCCCTGAAGACACTAAGACTGCAGATTTTGGCCTGTTATGTAGAATTTAAGTCTAATTTCAAGTTAAAGATTCAATTTGCCACTATTTGTTTCAAAGGAGGAACCTTGCAAGCTGTAGAGGTTGTGAAATGGCAAAGTGGAAGCAGTGCCCTGTGTGTGCTCAGGGTGTCCATCAGCTGCCAGGTTGCTGCTGGAAGAGCACCCACCCCAGGGAGGCAGAGCAGAAAGGGAGTGGTGCTTTGAATAAAGAAAAAAATCAACTAAAAGGTTTATTACCTCCCATTCCCTCCCCAGTTTGATTCTGACTGTTGCATAACACTTTTAATCCCCAGCTAAGTAAATACACAGACACTTAAGGAGGGGGAAAATAAACCCCAACAATTTTTTGCATGATGAATAATAAAGTATTTTGAAGGATGCATAAACAGTTTTCTGGTTCTGCCAGAGCCCTCTGCCAATTAGTCAGAGTGCAGCTGATGAATCATGAGACACAGTCTGTGAGATATTCAAAAATTTGGACCCTGCTAAGTGTTCCTGAAGGCCAGTGAGACCCCCCCCAGCTATTAAAACTGGTTGCCACTTGGTTGAGTTTCTGAGAGATCTATTTGCAATGGAGAACCTTTTGGTGAATTTTTTTTTGCATTTGGGGTAAATTTTGCATCCCCATTTTTAATCTGAAATTAGACTGTCACAGCCCTCCCCTTCATACAAAATACACAGGAGGTTAACTTTTGGTAGCTTTATGGAGAAAAGGACTTTCTAACAAGGTGGGTTGAGGTAAATGGCACTTACAGTTCTTTTCTAACACTGAAGATCCTTAGTCTTTTCTTAATGTTTCTTTTTTTTTTTTTGGAGACACAAGACTAAAAGTTCTAGGTTTTTTTTTTAATTAGACTTTAGGTTCTGGGTCACAGGAAACAACAACCAGATTCAAGCAGTGTCTTGCTGAACTGCCATGGGCAGCCCAAGGCAACTTTCAGTTCAATCTATGAAATGGCTGCAGAGTGTCATGATCTGACTCATTGCTGGTAAACTCTAGACAGTGATTGAAAACAGGAGGCACTTTTAGCAGGAAGGTAAGAAGGTGATCTGACATTTGGCTTTGTTCAAAATTTACTCAAACTGTAGCCACGCTTCAAATCAACACCACAAAGGTTTTTCACATTTTGCATTTTTATCCTCCACTGTTCTTGAAGCTGTGACCTAAGAGCAACTGTTCTGATAAAGGGAAATGTTTTGGAGTATTGAAAAATGTGATCCATCCAACAACTCCTGAAGGCAGATCATAAGTAAAGATACTTCAATCAGGACGAGGGACAAGGAGCTGTTTTGGCAAGGGTGCTAGTTCTGTGTGAGCTGTAGGTGCAGAAGATGCTGTACTGAAGTTCCTTCTGTCAATAGAGTTTTCAAAGCTGACAGTGAGACCAGGAGAGCAGCACCAAGTCCTGTGGTGGACCCTGCTACTCATTAACAGAGGTGAGAGAACTGCAGCACCCTGCAGTTCCTGGAGCCACTGAGGGTTCTGACCAATCTCTGCACTCAGACTGTTTAACTTAAAGGTCTGTGAACTCACAAGGCTGACCTAGATACTCAGTCTGCTCAAGTGTTATATAGCCTTGATGACCCTTCCACTAGTTAGAAAGCATTGATGTAGTTATCTTGTCTATTTTTAGCAGTGACTAGATTTTATTTAGGGGCTGTTGATCTTGTTTAATTGTGTAGCAAAGAATCAAAGTTTGGTCCTCAGATCAACATGAGAGATACTTAATGCACATTAGCATCCAAGTAAAACGTGGCCTAGAACAGTAACCTTGAAAGATGCAGACAAGATGCCAATAAACTGTGTTTTCCTAGTAAGTGTTCTAAGCAATTAGTTTATCATAAGTAGTATGATGCACATCTCTACCATTTTCAGTGGAAATGTTTTTAAAAGCTGTTATTCAGACCTAAGCATCGAGTACCAGGTACTGCATTCTGTATCAGCACTAGCAGCTGCTGATAAAATACAGTACTCATCTGCAGTCTCCTTTCCTCAGGGATGCTTTCCCCCAAATGCAGAGGTCTGGATTGTTGTCAGCACAAGCTCTGCACACCTGGGCTGTGCCCCCTATAGTTCTACATCTCTGTAAACTGCCATGGTTGACATTTTTTACATCAATGACCCATGTTGTTACCACCTGAGCACCAATGCAGTTATTTTCCAAGTGCTCTAAAAACTCTGCAGTAGGTGATGTCTGTCGTTAGACTGTACTTTTTTTTTGAAATCTGCTTTTCATAATCCACCTCCAGTAGTAATTTACTTTTCAACCCTTCATGTTCTCCTTCAAACACAGATAACAACTAGAATGTTGGTTTGTGCTGTTTGAATACAAATCCTCTGAGAGACATGAAGTGTTGTAGGACATGCTGGCATCCCTGTGTTTCCTGGGTCATTCCCTATTTTTTGTAACATCACATAACTTTTCTTACTCTAGAAACATTTGCTTATAGAATTCTTTTAATCAACCCCTTTTATTAATCTCTTCTTCCAGTTAATATAGTTCAGGATGTTTATTCTATTTTTTGGTTAATTTTGGAGATGCAAATTAGAGCCTTAAGAAAAACCTTGGCTTTTTTCTTTTCCCCCAGCTTCTTTTCCTGTAGTGCCTGTTTGCTGAGGCTTCTGTTTGCAGATGCCTTTGGATGTCTGCCAGAATAGGAGCAGTATATTGAGATACATGGTGAAACCTCAAATGGGAGACTATCTGGATTTTTGTGGTGTTAGTTTGTGTTAGGAAATCCCCAGTTCTGATCAACTGCTTGTAAATATTGTGTCTTTTCAACAGGCACTTCCTGAGGTGTATATGTAGGAAATCTTTAATTGCCCACAGAACATGGGAGCTATCAGACCTGTCGCTGAATTTGCCCCATCCTGCACTCCACATGCTGCTGATTTTGCGGGGGGGTTATTATTTTGTTGCCTCCCAGATACTAACTCAATGAACAAGCTGCATTGCTGAGGCCTGGTCACAGTTCAGGTTGGACTGACACCTATGGAAGTGCCACTCCACAGAAAGCTTTAATGAAAGGCAGAACCTCTCTGAAGTCTGAAGAGAAGCCCGTGCAGTCTGGGCATCTGCAGCACCAACATGTTCCATGGACATGTTCATGGTCCCTTTGACCAGAGGCCTTCCATGACACTAGAACTTAATTCTGGCAAAACACTCTCTATCTTTTCAACAAGGATTGATTCTAGATGTGCCCATTGAATACTGGATATCCTGTGATCAGGAGAAGATTGAACAACCAATTATTTGGTGATACCTGTGGAATCAGGAAAATATTTTCAGTAGTCTCAAAGGAGTTGGCTTCCCATTGCAGTTTTGTTGCCCTGCAGGTGGCCTTCCAAATCACCTCTCCTCTTTGTCATCAGCTTCACCTTTAGCAGAACCCTTTGATCAAAGTTGATCAAGTCCAAGCTTGAACCAACAGCAGTGTGAGCACTGAGGCACCCTAATGTCCTCATTGGATAATCTGTATGTACAGCACCTGAAACAGTCCAAGTCTTTACAAGACATTTTGCCACAGGGTGTTAGTGATGCATCATACAAGGAACTGGCACTTTAGTTTCACTGGCAGTTAATGCAAGACTTGATGAGTAAGAGTAAAGCTGCTGAACTAGTGTCCTTCAGAGTTTGTGAGCCATCTACTCTGTCTATCTGAAAAGCTGGTTTGAAAGAACCCTGAAATGCTAAAGAAAAGATATTAGAAATATTTTTTCCACTGGAATTGTGTTCCCTAGTATTATAAACCCTGGTCTTCATAAGCCAACTATGTGTTAGCCATCCACAAAATCTCATTAAAAGGACCTTATGCTAAAATTCATTTCTCACTGAAAATGAAAAAAAAAGCCCTCACAAAGCATTGTTGTCTGTGGTGAGCACCTTAGATCCCGCACCTAGAAAAGTGCCCTTGGGTTATTTTATATGAGGGACAGAGCAATTGTGATAACAAATACCTAGTTGCTCTCAAGATTTTAGTGAACTCAGTTTATAACAAGACAATCAGTACATTTGTACTCTTCTGTATATGAGCATGAAAACTGTTGTGTTTAGTTATTCCAAAGTACTTATACTAATTTATTTATGCTTTCATTTTAGTGTTCAGCTTTCAGGTAGAACCTCTACATCCCTCCAGAATCATAAAAACTTTTGCCTTTTTGTTGTTTATATTTACATTTTTTTGAAGTAATGAGAAAGAAATAAGAAAGCTGACACAAAGCAGGGTGTAGTGAGTCTGTGAGCTGGTGGAGCAAGGTGTAGTTTTGATGTCAAATGTATTTCTCTTCTGTTGCAGTGTTCATTTTTGCCGAAATTCTCCATTCATATAGAGACAAAATACGAGGACAACAAAGGAAGCAATGACAGTGTAAGTATGGTGGCTTTTTCAAAATTTAGTTTTACCCTGTAGTTAATCATCTGTGTCTGGAGGGGATTGTAGTAGGTCTTTTAGTCTGGGAGAAGAGCCTGGTCAGGCTTGTGCCTCTGCACCTCCCTTGGTGTCCTGTTCACTAGTTGCTTGTCAGCTTGCAGAGCAGTTACCTCTAAAGCACTATAAGATGATTCCCTTCTGCACTTCACATTCTAATTATTACTTCTCTAAACACAACATTGTCTGCATATGTGAGCCTAGTCCTGAAGAACATTCATGGGGAGTAAAAAAAAGATTAGGCTTTTTGGGGGTAATTTTTTTTCCACTTTATCTGCTCCACATCATTCTCTCTGAATAAAAGGGGTTGAATTCCAAGGAGCTGTTAGGAAGAACAAACAGGAAACTAAACAATGGTCAGAGATGAGAGATCTCAGTAAACAAATTCTAGGGAACAATGGCTGGACTTATTGAGGTGATGCTTTTGGCAATCACAAAATGTTACAAAGTTCTCAGAGCTGGAAATGAGAAGGATAATTGACTATGCTAATTCCTCTCTGGAGGAAGGGTGACAGTGAGTAGCCAGCAGCTGCTGGTCAGGAGATGCTCAGGAATAGAAGGCAGGAGGTCAGCTGGACTTTGTTGGCCTGACAGAGAGCAAAGAGAGTCATACAGCTTGTAAGAAAAGAATAATGTTTGATAAATGTTTGAGCCTGTGTAAGTAATTCTGTAAATGCTGCAGTTATAATGCAAAATACATTAATATTAATATTACAGTAATGAGGGTAGTAATGCATGACTGATGTTAACTTTTTTTAAACCATACAGGTTTTTTTAAATCTTTGAACTCTAATCTGTTCTTCATCTCCATGCTATCTAGTAAAGTAGATACTAATTGTAAAAAGCAATAAATAGAAATAAGGACTCTATAACTAATTGTATTGATCAGTGGAAGAGAGAAATATAAATGCCCTCAGGTTCCTGTTGTCATGCAGCAGGCTGGTGTGTTATGAGAAGTATTTTATTTAACATGTTGCATGGTAAAATTCTACCTGATGACTGCAATATATCTTGATGCTCAAGTCCTCCTGATTTTTCTTGCCGATTGTTGTGGTAGAAGAAACTAAGATAATTAAATCTGCTTTGGAACTTGATTTTTCTATATGGCTTTGGCATCCCTTAACGTATTTTAAGTGTGTTCTGATCTGCTAAAGTTTGCACTTGATTTGCACAAATAATGATGTTGACAGGAAGTACAATGGACAATAAACCCCTTTATTTAGATTAAAACACTCTTGAAGTTTGTGTAGATGGCAGCAGTGCAGGACCATAAACCCCCCCAGCTGTGACTCCTGGTGCCCCTGCGCAGCTGATCGCGCTGCCTCGCGCCTAGATGTTCACATGGCAACTCGCTCCTCAGCAGAGCAGTGTTGGATTAACATGTTAGTACATCAAATATTGTCACTGCCACTTTGCAGCTTGATGGCTTCATTAAGAGTGCTGGGAACTAGACCAATGAGTCAGACCACCCCGTCCTTCCTCATTATGGGTCTTTTAAAAAGTAAACTTCTTAGTTTGAAGAGAAATTTTATTTTTGGTTTGCTTTTATTTGAAATGACAAAATGTAAATGACACTGTAGGTGGGATCTGTGGAGTACATGAAAATGTGGCTTCCCCATTGCATCTTCAGCTGCTTACATAAGTCAAGGTAGCAGTGGGAACTGCTGCAAGAGGGAGATGCAGGTGCCTACAGTAGCTTCAGTGGAGGCAGGCTGGAAAAGTGCAGGATAACGACTCAGGGCACAGTTTGTTTCCCATAGGAAAAATTAGCAATTAGGGAATTTGAATATAGAGATAGAAAATCTGTATTTTGAATAATTAAACTGTAAGTTAAATACAAGAGAATTCTTAAGGTTATCTAATTAATGAAATGGTCAGAAATCACAGGCAGGAGTGGTATAAGTTACTGCTTGTTTGTGAATTAAGGCTTAGTCTGTGGTTTTCATGAGCAAACCTTGTTAACCTCTTGTTTTATTTGGGCTGATACTGTTTGCTTTTCACAGTCTATCAACTGGTCAGTATTTATGTCACATCAGGCTAATTTTATTCTCAACGTTGTGTTGCTCTCCCTTTTCTCCCATCTCCGTTCTTACTGTTCCAGTACACCCTACAGACACACATGTTGTTTATTTTGAATTTTAGTGGGGAATGCACCAGCTTAGGCTTTCTGTTGATTACAGTCTCCACCACATGGCTCTAGTGGATACTATAATCAGTGCCTGGTGATCTCCTGCCCTGCAACTCCCTGTTCTTGCCTGCCGTGCTCCAGTCCTGGTGAAGATGTCTAAAAAACCATCTGTAGCTGAAGGCAGAGACAAAGGTGAAGTGAAGGCAAACTCTGTTCAGAGACATTTTCATTTTCTGTTGGTTGCAGAAGAATCATTATGTTTGACTGGGTTTTGTTGTTTTGTTTTTTAGTCAGAGAATTAATTAATTTCTGCTGATATTTGGGCAGTGAATTTTTGCCATCTGATAGTGTCTGGGGAAAGTACAAAAGCACAGCTTGCAAAAATCATCCTGTAGTTGTCAAGAATGGAAATTCACTGTATGTAAAACATAACAGTACTTTGCTCTTTGTAGCATAACATTTTGCTCTGGAAAACTCAATGGCTGGATCCTGGGTATTGAAAAGCAGGATGCAAGGTCTTAAAATCACATAATCTTTCTTTTTGTTGAAGGGCCATGATATTTATTAGCAAGAATAACATTAGTCTTAAGAGTAATGGATGTGTGGTGTAAAGATTTTGAGCCAGTTATATTTCAAGATGACAAAATGTGGGTATCATTGGGCCCATTTTTGTAAGTGCTTGTGTCAGGGCTGATAAAGTCATCAGAGATACAGCACTAAGTCTTTGTCAGTCAATGTGCGTCTTGCCTTTCAAAGATAATATCATGTTGGAAATGTCTGAGAATGACCATTTGCCAAAGGAAAACAAGAGGTAGGTCTGTATTCCATATACATATAAATGAACACCAATATAACACAGAGAAAACCCAAAAGCTTCACAGAAATGTCAATATTTGAATTAAAAAAGAAACATATTGTGCATGTATGCATCTAAACTTGGAGGCTTATCTAGCTGGATGCTTCATTTTTTCCATTTTTTACCTCGATGGCAATGAATGAATCACTAGAATAGCAAGAAAGGCAGAGATAAATGTTATTACATTTCAAGTTCTGATGTTTAAAGATATTTTTGTCATGCCACTCACGTCATAACCTGCCTGTCTCCCTGAGATGTCATCTTGTGGCAACCAGCTACTGCAAAGCCAAGATGGACGTTGTTGGGATGCCTGTTGGCTTTGTTGGCAGGGCAGAAAAAATGGGGAGGCAGAAAAAGGGGAGAAAAATTCCTTCAGGCATTCCTCTTAAAGTCAGATTTAATAGAAGAAGAAATTTGATCTATAATGGAAATTCTCATCTCAGTAAATTACATTTCCACATTGAATATTGAACAGTGTAGTAATTTTGGCTTAAATTTGTAGATAGGCACAGGTGTCTGATTACTTAGCACATGAGATATGATCACATATGCTACCATATTACCTACTGGTAATTAATTTAGGAGTTTTCTGCTTTTCTGAAAAAAAAAAATATATATGGTTTTGCTCTTACCCATTTCATTTCTCTGCCTTGGCTACAGTTTTCGGCAAAGGCTTGAAACACTCCTTGTATCTAGGCTGGTAAAAAAAACAAACCACCCTCCATTTGCAGTAAAGACAGAACAACTAGTGATCCTTTTAATGCCTTCTATGCTCCTGATAGGAGTTTTCTGCTTTTCTGAAAAAAAAAAATATATATGGTTTTGCTCTTACCCATTTCATTTCTCTGCCTTGGCTACAGTTTTCGGCAAAGGCTTGAAACACTCCTTGTATCTAGGCTGGTAAAAAAAACAAACCACCCTCCATTTGCAGTAAAGACAGAACAACTAGTGATCCTTTTAATGCCTTCTATGCTCCTGATGATAAAAGAAAAGGCAACCATGACAAGGGAGGATGACAGAGGCTGGCACAGAGCCAAGCCAAACAGCACAGATTTGGCCCTCCCAGTTCAGCAGTGTAGATGAGTGAGGAGTTTGCTGGTGTGGATGTAACCAATGGATCCAGCAGAGTCTGGCTTCATATACCCAAAACAGGGTAGATGTGGTGACTGGTCCTAAAAGTAAAATTTTGGATTACCTACATTTGAATGAGGTTGAAGCCAGCAATTTAGCCTGAGATTAGAAGAGAGGGAAGAAAAATGGAAAAGGATTTTTTAGGAAAAAGATACTGAATTTGTTGTTGAGGTATTATCA